GGGGGGGCATTTTTTCTGCAAGAACTGGGGGTGCGAAACCACCGGAGATGCTTGGTGGAATCCGTCCTCATCATGGGATTACATCACTGTGAAAGCAAATTATTCTCATGGGACTTATGAGGATTGGAAAACTATTCATAAACAGGCCTGTGAGAGAGAATGGTGCCACCCCCTCCGCATAGACTTCACAACACCAGGTAAAAAGTCAACCCTGAATTGGGACAAAGGATATTCCTGGGGAATTAGGTTATATAAAGAACGGACAGATGATGGCCTCCTTTTTACGATTAAAAGAGATATATCTCCCCCATTTACAGTAGCCATAGGTCCCAACCCAGTCCTCAGTAACCAGCGACCAGCTTCCCTTCCTTTACCTGCTTTGGTGCCCTCGCGAACCCCAGAGACCAATGACTCTGCCAGTCTGCCTCCCCCCACATACCCTGGAACAGGTGACAGGCTCCTGAACCTCGTTAGAGGAGCATTCCAGGCATTGAACCACTCGGAGCCAAACAAATCTAAGAATTGCTGGCTCTGTTTGAACCCGAGCCCCCCTTATTACGAGGGCATAGCCATCAAGGGAAACTTCTCAATACTCCCCGCGAACTCTACTGCCCCCCTCACTTGCACCTCTTCCACCCACACACTCACCCTGACTCAGGTTACCTCAACAGGCACCTGCATCGGAAAAGCGCCCACTGGATTTAAACATTGCCTTAAGAATAACTCCTCCCTTTCCCTCCAGGCCGACGCATACCTTGTGCCCCCTAATGGCACCTATTGGGCATGCAGCACGAGACTCACTCCATGTGTGTCAGCTGCAGTACTAAATTCCACCCGAGACTTCTGTGTCCTTATTCAGCTGTGGCCTCGAATTTATTGGCACGATGATAATTATGTACTGAATTTTTATGAAAATTCACCCACCAGATTCAGACGGGAGCCTGTCTCCCTTACTCTAGCTGTTATACTAGGAGTAGGGGGAATCACCGCAGGAATAGGCACAGGGACCACCGCGCTTATCCGTACAGATCAGTATATGCTTTTACACCAGGCAATGAACCAGGATCTGCTGGCTCTAGAAAAATCCGTCCGGGCACTCAAAGACTCCCTTACATCTTTATCTGAAGTAGTGTTACAAAATAGGCGGGGTCTGGATTTACTATTCTTACAACAGGGAGGTCTATGTGCTGCCTTAAAGGAACAATGTTGCTTCTATGCAGATCAGACAGGAATAGTTACTGAAACTTTGGACAAACTAAAACAGAGACTAAAAGAAAGAAAACGTTACTTTGAATCTCAACAAGGATGGTTTGAGGGGCTGTATAATAAATCACCCTGGTTCACCACGCTGGTATCCACTTTAGCTGGGCCTTTAGTCCTCCTGCTTCTTATTTTAACCCTAGGACCTTGCATCCTTAACCGGCTGGTTCAATTTGTAAAAGACCGCCTGTCCGTGGTACAGGCCCTAGTGCTCACTAGCCAGTATCGGGTCCTCCAAGACCAGGAGCCAGATTTGCTGTAAGTGAAGGATTTCACTTAGTAACAAGAAAAAGGGAGGAATGAAGGACCCGACTGACAGCAGGAAGGCCATTTTAGAAAAAGAACTGTAATCAGCCATTCGATAAGCCAAGATTCTAACCCAGGTCTTGTGAAACTAGCAGTGGAAGATAGGACATTTGCAGTCGGACCACCTGCCACCACCCTGAGGCCCCTACCGGGAAGTTAGTGATAACAGCCCCTACTGGGAAGTTAACGATAACAATCAGTTTCACCCATAGCCCCCTCTGAATTTGGCAATACTGTTTCCTCATACCTTGTACCCATTGAAATGCACTAATAATAATCTTGTAACCATGCATCTGCTTCTGTACCTTGCTTCTGCTCTATAAAAAGCCCCCCCAAACTAAGCCCGGCACGCAAGTCCTGACCCGAGCGGGACTCTGCGTCCGCAGGCGCCTGTGTATGAATAAATTCCTCTTGCTTTTGCATCCCGAAACTTGGTTTTGTCCCTGTGTGTTGAGCGCGATTCTTCAACTTCATTTAGTTTTCATCATCTCTATGTAAAAAATCAGAACATACAAAATTTTTATTTTAATTCCTTCTTCATATGCATCGAAATGTTGTGATCAGCATTTTTCATACATAAAATATATATTACATATATGCTGTATATATTTAAGTGTACTTTCCTATTTGCACCATCACACTCCTTTGCCTCACATTACTCCAGATACTACCATTGGCCCCGTTTTTGCTAATGACATATATATATATATATGTTCATATATACATGGTTAAATATAATCTCTGCAAAAGTGAGACCATACATTGATTTTAGAATGTTTAATATTAATGTAACTTACTAATATCAAATTTTTAATACAGATGTGAGAAATTTGAACTGTGTGAGTGTTGAACAAATTTCAGAAATGCATACACATGAGATTTGCAAAGTAAACCAAAGAAATAAGGATGGCTTATCTGTGACTCGTCCCATGTAGGGTGAAAAACCATGAAACAAAATCAAACTCAATCCATCTTGGTAAATGAAAGCTATGTCTTTGTAGGAAAATGATGATCCTGCAGCCAAGACAGAGATTTTAGAATGTCCTAAATCTCTTCACTTTGGGGTGTGCAAGAGGGTGGGGTGTTTGAGGCCATCAGTAGTCAACTTCAAGTGTTTTGTTTTAGATTACCATATGGTCCAAAAGTCTTTGTCTATGGGTATTTGTGTGCATGTAGGTATGTGTGTGTAGACTAGAAGACAAGTGTAGGCACTGTTTGTGGTTTTTTCTGTCTGGGGGGTTTTGTTGTATTTATCTTGAGAAGTAGGGGGTGTAGTGTGTCTACTCCATCTTCCTAGAATCAGAAGATACCTGTCTTTTGATGGTGGTATAGACAATGACTCTGGTACAATTTATCTTTATGTTTAGATATGTTTTATATAGAATAAACATTTTGCAGAGTTAATGGCATAAAACTATGTCTATGTATCTAGAATTTTTAGTCTTCAAGTTTTTAATGGGGCTGGAGAGACAGCTTAGCAGTTAAGAGTGCTTGCTGTGTGAGCAGGGGGACTGGTGTTGAGCCCCAACACCCACATAATATACTCGGTGTCCTGTACTTCTATAAATGCTCGTAACTCCAGCTGAGGGGGTCTAACACCCTCTTCAAGGAAGTCTAATTATCTCAATTAAAAATTATGGGAACTGAAGCTCACATAACTAGCTTCAAGTCTTATAACTGATGGGTATTGAGGCCAGAAGTTTAAAAATATTTTTTTGTTTGGTGCCAAAATCTTTCCCTTAGTCTCCACTATGTATGACCAAATCTTCATTATTTGTGGAATTATTATTATTTTTTGAGACAGGGTCTTTTTATGTAGTCCTGGTTGGCCTGGAATTGGCTATGTAGACCAGGCTATCCTTGGATTTCTGGTGGTGCTCCTGATTGTGCTGCCTCCCCAGTAACTAGATCTATAGTTCTGCACCACAAAGCCCAGCTCATTATAGTAGATTTCATATTTGTGAATTTACTAGCTGACATTTGACTATAATCCCAGCATCAGTGCTCACAGAATACTTGTGGCCATTCTTGGATCTGTAGAGAGTGTGTGTGTGGGGTGTTTCTGAGATCCGCCCCCCAACCCAGATGCCTCTTGTTTGAACCTCATCTTGGAAAACAATGTTTTATTTATTTTTGAAATTTTTGTGCTTCTTATTGATTTTTCACTGTTTAAAGTGGCTTTTAGGGGCTGGAGAGATGGCTCAGTGATTAAGAGCACTGGCTGCTCTTGCAGAGGACTCGGGTTCGATTCCCAGCACCCATATGGCGGCTATGAACCATCTTTAACTTCAGTTCCAGGGGAATCGGAGGCCCTCTTCTGACCTCTGCTGCATTACATGACACGGGTACACTCATATACATGCAGACAATACACTTGTACACATAAAATAAAAATAATAAATAAAATATTTAAAAGTGGCTTCCACACAGTGTTAAAGAGCTAATTACAAAGTGTTTGTGCTCTTGGAGCAAGTGTGTTAAATTTTGCTCAGGCACAGTGTACTCCATGTTAATGAACCAATCCTACATATTCATTAAATTGTCTTTAAACAGAAACATAAAACAAGGTTATATTTGATCAGTTGACAGACATTTTATGACCAAGAGAAGCTTGTAGGAACCTAGCTCAGTATATCCCCTAGGAGTGATGATATTCAGTATTCATTAATTCAGAACAAAACCACCTAGAACAAGAATGGCTGTATTTCCTTGTGAGGATCTCACCATGGGGGGGGGGGGACGACACTCCTGAGGGGGTATCTAGGCCTGTAAGTTCCCGAGCAGCTCTGCCTGTGCCAGTTCCTCCATTAACATGGGTCTCCCTGTTCTCTCCCACAGAGGGGTACCACTGAGCCCTTCCTGAGGCTCCACAACCTCTACAGCACTCCGCGCTGTTCCAGGCAGGCCACTTTGCCCCGAATGAGCCGCAGGGTAGCCAGCCAGCACTCCTACCCGCTCAGTCGCTTCTCCTCCGTGCCCTTCGACCCCATGGAGCATCCCACCTCCCAGGCCGACCTGGAGCTGGACTACAACCCTCCCCGGGTGCAGCTCAGCGATGAGATGTTTGTCTTCCAGGGCGGGCGGTGGGTGAATGAGAACTGCCGCCTGCAGTCCCCTTACTTTTCTCCCTCCTCCTCCTTCCACCACAAGATGCACCACAAGCGTCTGGCCAGAGAGTACCTGTTGCAGGAAGAGAACAAGTCCCTGCGCGATGAGAACAGGGCCCTGAGGGATGAGAACAAGGCTCTGCGCAAGGAGAACAAGATCTTGCAGGTGTTTTGGGAGGAGCACAAGGTCACTTTAGGCCACGAGGAGAGCCAGACCTCTTCACCATTGCTGCACAAAGACACGGCGTCCCAGGAGGTGGTGAAGAAGGACAACACGACCTTGCCTGTCCAGCGCAGCAAGGAGAACACCCTTCAACTCATCCGGGAGGAGAACCGAGCCCTCCAGCACCTGCTGGAGCAGAGGCAGGCCTACTGGGCCCAGGCAGAGGACAATGCAACTTCTGCCGAGGAGAGAAAGCCCATCTCCTTACCCCAAGAGGAGTCCCACAGCCCCGGACTACTGCCAGATCAGGGCCCGGGCCTCTCCTCCCCCTTTGAGGAACCCAAAGGGCCCTCCACCCCACAGGAGGACTCCAAGACCTTGCATGCCCTGAGGGAGATGGTTAACAACCTGTCTGGGGTGTCTGGGGAGGAAGAGGGCAAGGCAGGCCTCAACCTGGCCGACAGTGGGCAGCCCCTGCAGCTGCTCAGAGAGATGAACCAAGCTCTGCAGGCCCTGCAAGAGGAGAACCTGCTGCTGCAGGAAGAGAACAGGGCCCTGCACGTGCTGCGGGAGGAGCATCGTGTCTCCCGGGAGGAGAACAAGGCCCTGTGGGAGAACAACAAGTTGAAGCTGCAGCAGCGGCTGGTCATCGACACAGTGACTGAGGTCACAGCCCGTATGGAGATGCTCATTGAGGAGCTGTATGCCTTCATGCCGGCCAAGAACAAGGAGCCCAAGAAGCCCAGCAGGGTCTGAGGCCTTGGCGGCAGACATGGACACTGAGTCTGGGCACAGAACACCAGGCGAGATAGAATCCCCTGCCTTTCTTCATCTTCCTCGTCTTTGCCCACCAGTGCAAGCCTGTGGAATAGCCGCGAATGGGCCCTTCTACATACAGAGATGCAATAAAGGCCAAGGAGCTGGGGCCAACCGACACCAGCTTGGAGCTCTGGCTTCTTTCTCCTTCCTCCTCCTTCTCCAACCTCCAGTTTCCCACTTCTTCCTCTTCCTGGTCCATCTAACATTTTCTTTTTCTTCTCTCCTCTTCCCCTTCCCTCCTCCTGTTCCTCCCTCTACCCACCTCCCTCTTCTTCTATGGACTTTAGCTGGGTATGGTGGTACATGCCTGTATTCCTAGCACTCGGGAGGCTGAAACAGGAGGGTTGTGGACTTAAGGCCTTGCCTAAGCTATATAGTGAGAATCTGGCTCTACAACAAGGAGATAATAAAAAATGACTTTAGGCTTTAGAACAAAATTGAGCTGAAAATCAGAGTTCCTATATACCTCCTGCCCATTCACACAACACCCCCTCTAAATTTCCAAATTTGTGAAAACTGGTAAATCTATTTTGGCTCACCATTGTCATGCAAAGTCATAGCTTAATTAGGGTTCACTTTTTGTATTGCACATTCAGTTTGGGCAGGTTGCTACCACTGTCATATAATACAGAACAGTTCCACTGCCCTGCAAACCCTTTTGTTCCCTCCTAACCTCTGGTAAGCACTGTCTAGTTATTGTATGCCTTTGCCTTTCCTAGAATGCCACATAACTGGAATCATGCAGTGGGTAGTCTTTTCAGATTGGCATCTTTAAGTTAAGATATGCATTTAATTTCCTAGATAAATTTTTTTTGAATTCTAAGTACTATTCCATTTCTGGGCATATCACAGTCTACTTACCCATCCACCCTGTGCAGGACATCTAATGGCTTCCGAGTTGAATATGAGTCTGGCTTCTCTTCTCTTCTTCCCCCAGTTTCTCTCATTTCTCCTGCTTCCTTTATTGTAGTCTGTATTTTTCATTTCCTCCTTGTTCCTTCTTTTCTCCTCTTTCATCATCTCCTGTTTCTGAGGCTACAGGGTCAGGGGAGGTATTTGGAGAAAAGGTAAAGCCAAGCGAGGACTTTTCACTGTTACATTTGGGGCTGGATAATTCTATGCTGGGGACTGCTCTGTGCAGGATCCCAGGCTTCTACTCAGGGATGTCAGTAATGACCAGCTATTCTCTTGCTGTGACATTGCTGAATGTTCCATAGAGGTTAAAAAATCTCAACACTCCTCTATGTTCTAAAAGTGTATTCTTTGAAACACTAGTCCCTGAAGTGCTCTGAGAAAGTGAAGCCTTCATCAGGGCAATCCTTGTACAATCTCCTCCAGTAAACTCTGACCTGAAGGGTCTGAGAAGTTCTACAGTGAAGAAGTCTGCATATGTTTCATGAACACAGGATTGCTCAATTTTGTTTGATCTTACACTCCTTTGTTACATTATGTCCATTGTTCATCACATCTGAGAAGGGGTGCCCTTTGTGCTTCCCAACCCCAGACTTACTTTCCTGCATCTGGGTTCACACCTGTCAGCTTCGTCACAGTTCCCAGGTGGATGCCAGGGCCGGGGCAGCTGATCACCAGACTCACTGGGAAAAGGTGTAGGGACTCAAGATTTCCTGAACTTTGATTCTCATTTTGAAGCTGGGCATGTTTAAAAAACAAAACTATAGAAGGGAGCTCGGTTCCCCAAGTTAGCTGTAGAACAAAATCACCTGAAGGTCTTTGAAAGACACCAATGTCTGGATCTCCCCTCAACCCCAGATATTCTGATTTGTTAAGTATTGGGGTGGGACTAGACCCTGGGATGTTTAAATGTTCCTGGAATGATTCCAATGTGCAGCAAAGTTTAGGAACCATTGTAGTAGTGGGGATTAAGCCAGCCAATGTGAATGCGTGGGCTCACTTACGTGCATTGCTGCTGCTGGCTACATTGCTCAGACAGTGAACCCAGAGCAGTAAGCCACCCCTCATGGAGATCTTTGCACGTCAGTTTTCATTTCTGACCCTCTTGAAGAGATGGAAATGGGATTCCAAGTGATTTGCCAATTGGACAGGTAGGAAAAGCCAAACTGGGGCTTCAACTGCAGACCTAGCTGTTGTAGCTCAAGCTCCTTCCATGAGCTCACGTTGCCATTTCCTAGTCTCTAAAAATTAAAAGAAGTTTTGATGCCTGTTTTCCATATTTAAGAACATGTTGAGTCTTATCCCAAAATAGCATCAGAAATCCCAGAAGATAGCAATAGGAGGGTTTTTCCTCTCAACTAGCCAATGATACATCTAATCTGCACACAGGGTGCAAGGTGATGGATGTGCAGGAGAAGGCTGGTGATTTATCTACTGTGGTCATCAAAATTTGAAAAATGGGACGTGGTACTGACAGGCCTCTGGGCCTTAGTTTTTCTTCCTCTATTTGTTAAATTTTTCATTTGGGGCATCATAAAATATACCTTATTTCAGCCAGTGTGATAACCCCAGGGTGTAGGGGGTTTGCTTTTATCTTTTGATGAAACCAAATTGATTTCTGTTATTTCAGACAATGGGAAGACAAACGACACACTGTCTTAATGTTTGTGTTCCAAATATTTAACTTGGATTAATTTATATAACAGCAGTTGAACGTTTTCTTAGAGCTGAGCGTGCTCAGAGAACTTAATACTATTTAACAATGTCAACTTTCTCTGTCAGGAGAATCTAAATGGGTGAAAAATTAGTCAGATAAGCCATAAAACGTCATTTTTATGGAGTGGGGGAGATTTATTTCCAAACAGTGTTTCATTGTACAGTGCAGTGCAATCTGTCATGGATAGCCAATAGTCTAGTGGTATCTCACCTCTGGTGGCAGAGTGAAGTTTCATTCTGACAGGAAAGTGTCCTCTAAGCATCTCTGCTGCATTTTATGTTCTAGGTCTGCCTAGTCCCTGGTCCAGCATTAGGCCCTTATCTAAAGGCTAAAGTTGCTATCTCCCTGTAGGGCAGGTCTTAGAGCTAAGCCTCTAAGGTTTGTGATTAGCAAGCATTCTACCCCTCCTGTCTTCTCTCACTTGGCACTTGGCTTGGTAGGCTTTCTTGGTTGCAACAGTCAACTATTACTCTCCAGCTAATCCTGTCCCTAGCATTAACTATGGCCACAAGTTGAAGGTCAGGGTCAATAGAGAAGAGCATTCACAGTCTGAAACAACTCCCTAATTAACAGAGACTATCATTCCAGAATTCATGAGGGAGGCTGTAGCAGGAAGATCATCAATGTAGGGAGTGTCATTGTACTAACCAGTTTTATTACTATAAAGAAATATCCAAGACTGGGTACTTGTTTAAAGCAGGGTTATTTGTATGACAGAGGTTTTTAGGGCATGGAGCCAGACTCAGGCCAGTTCTTTTAAGAACTCATGATGGATGGGAGCATATGTGGAGAGATGGTACTGCCCCACAGGAAGCCAAAGAAGTCAAGGCACAGCCTACTTGTTTTTTATAACAACCCCCTATAGAGAACTAAGCAAAGGGTCCCAACAATAACTGGATTTCTCCCAAGGGCCCCAATAAGGACCTCTTGCTATGTTCTATAACTGAACATGAGTTCATAAAACAAAGCCCAAAACAGCATGGCTTGGGATTTTTTTTTAAAGTAGAGAGTATTAGTTGTAGCCAGTAAGGGGAAAACATAAATTATTTCCAAAGCAATGACCTTCTTAAAGGAAGCACGGGGATATTTTCCTGGGAGCTGGTACATATTCATATGGGAAAGCACTTCAAGGACAGGCACATTCCTGAGCATGCCCAGTGAAGGAATACCTTCCTGGGCACACTCAATTTGAGGTCATAGTTCAAGGATGAAATATGGAGGATACATCTAGGTATGCTTATCTCAAGGTTTTGGAGTACACGTTCAACAACTTAAAATAGCAGACAGGAACACTTTTGGTCTCTTGGTTACCCTCCAGAACTTGACAGTAAGACCCTATTGCTGAATATACTACATACATGAGCTGTAGAGGAAACAAGGAGAAATCAAGTTGGCGCTGACTTCAAACACTCATTTCTACTGGTTAGTTTTCATAGTGCTGGAAGGTGCTATGCATGCTACCTAAAGTGAAAATCATCAACCTTACCTAGCTGTAAATCCTGTGAGCTACAATAATAACTGGCCCAGGAAGATATGCCCACTGGTGCAATAATGACACAAATACTGTGGGAGTAACCAACCACTCTCCAATTGAATTTAAGTTCTGCTTCATAAGAATGGAGCACATACCTGACAGTGATATCAGGTCTAGGAACCTGAGGCTAGATAGGCCACAGGACATAGGGGAGAGACTAATACTATCATTCTGCTAAATAGATGTAGTATTAAATTGACTTATTGTTATATCCATAGATCAATGCAAATCTCAACTCTCAGAAGAGAAGCTTCCTTATGTAGCAGATAGTGGTTAACAAAGAGAACCACAACTGGCCAGTATGCAGAGAATAAAAGCTGCAGTGTGGTTATCCCTGAATAGGACACTATATCAAACTTCTGCTCAGGGATCATTGCAGAAGAAGATGGAAAGATTGTAAGGGCAAGGGGATATGGATGGCCATAAGAAAACAGTTTTGAAGACAGCTGACAGTTACTCATGAACTTACAGTAATGGTGACAGCATAGACAAGTACCACATAAGCTCAAGGCAGGTAAAATCCCAGTGAGGAAGTGGGCAAGTAGGTAAGAAATCCCAACCCAACCTGAAGAATTATTGGCAATTGATGGCTGCTGGGAAAGGGAGGGGTCAGTCTCATTTAAGGGTAAGACTCTTGGATGATCTTGAACTCCTGATCCTCCTGGTTGACCAGGCTCTAGTGGTTGAAGCTATATGGAAAGGCATTTGGGGACACAAATTTGGCTCTACAGTATTAGAGTACATGAAATTGGGTTTGGGAAGGAAGGGGCAGTA